CTGATGTGGAGTTAACTATCCTAAATTAGCATATTCTGTCATGATAATCTATAAATCGCTCGTGTGGGAACTGTTGTAAGATGCCTAGAGTGACATGCTATTGCATTTGTGTTACATATGTATTGTATGTGAAAAGACCGCTTGAGCAGACTCACAAATACATGTGTTCTTCTAATACAACAACGCTTCAGCCCCGTTCACACTGCCAGTGACCGTTGGCGACAGAATGTGGGCGTGTCAAGCGACGTGAGAAAAGGTCCGAAACTTCATTTTTATGCAAATGAGAAGCGATTTTCACGAGCGACAACCAATAGGAAAGAAGACTTTCAGTGGAGCTGACATCACCGTCTCGAGTGCAGGCAAGACAGAAGAGTTCGAGGGCGATTTCACAGTTTTAAATGATTTGACTGTAACAACATACATGGATATAATAAAATGCTGCATGGAAAAGAAACTGTCGACAGTCTCAGTGAGTTTAATTCATACATTTATAGTTTTAGTGTTGTAATTGTATGATGCAAGTTTAGCACTGCTGACATTTTACAGTTTCCCCGCCATTATGTTGACTATTAGGTACACGGAAATTGATTATTTGTCAAATGCGAATGACGTTTTAGAGATTTATGACAGTATGAGTGAGTTTAATTTGTTGATTGATCTATCGTTAATCTAGTAAATTATTTAATCCACTGAACACTGTGGTAATATAAAAACACTCTCCCAACAGCATACTCTTACCTTTAATTCTTTAGAGCCTAATTCCTAGTCAAATTAAAATGATATAGCCTAGTTGTATACATCACTTGTGATGGTATTTTGTATATGGCCAGACGTGCAGTCTACCAGTAACATTAGAGCGACAGCACTGGGAACACCCACAAGCGACTCACGGTACAGAGACTAGCGACATATAGCGACAAAGTTGCTGGCGATGTGAACGGGGCTTTCCTCTTCTCAACATGGACTGTGTTCCTGGGGGCGGGATTTATGTACATTTTAGGGTTAGTGATGCGCCTAACCCAGGAGTAGGGATGCGCGGTATACCGGTACTGCAAAAATACCGTTATATATTATATTTCAAACGGTACAATATCATAATTTTGTTCAATTCGGTATTTTATGCGCTGCTGTTTCGAAGTTCACCGCTAGGCGGCAGGGCGCTACTTAAACTGACGCGGGTCACGCGAAACCGACAAACGGTGACAACAGAGGAACACGATGGATCAAACGAAGCTCATTCGAATTTCTACACGCCCGAAATTAATAAATAGAGAGAGCAGTATGAGTGAAATAAGGCATTACTTTGCCAACAAAAGTAATGAGAAAAGTAAAGAAACAGATCTCAATGCACCACTCTGCAAACGGGGAGGCAACACATCAAATCTGCCTATAGCACTTGACTTGTCAGTTGCTCATCTTGACTTGTTCAAAGAGTTCAGAGATCGACAGGTTAGTCCATCATTCAAATGATTTAATTTAGACTTTTATTGAACATTGAACAGCGCACATACATAAGAGCTTATCAATTATATATGATACGGTAAACACGAAGGCTCAAATCTGCTTGCATGACACGCTAGAACCAATTAAGTTTAGTCTCATCATTTTTGCACTTTCAAACAAACATAGGCCTATATTAATTGAATTTGAATGAATAAAGAATAAAAATGTGAATAATATTAATTTTAGTATTAGTGATAGTAAAATGAATGGCATATTAGTGCAGCTGTGGTGACCCCTAGAGCAATAAGCCGAGAGAGGGAGATAGTAATAATATTACAATTAAGCTACATTTGTCAACATTCATTAGGTAACCTGACCTAACAGTAATATAGCATTTATTAATCTATATCAATCAGTAATTAAAACGACCTAGAAAATTAAATGTAGGCCTACTAATACATGTTTTTAGCATGTTAACATTACTTTATGCAATGCATTAAACTAATATGAACCCAAACAGTAACCAAACCAAGATGAATAAATGCAATAAATGTTGATAAATCTCTGTTGATGCATGACAGCTAATGGTTTACATGTCATTTCATTATTCTATTATTATTATTATTATATGTGAATCTATTATTATAGATATTAACCAATTTTAATTGTATAATTTCAGTGTTTTTTTTTTTTTTTTTCAAAATCAAAATTTAACCTACTGGATGTTCCCTGACTGAATTTTTTTTTTTTTTTTTTTTTTACAATTTGATACATTTTCTTTGCACATTTGGTAGTGGAGAATTTCAAGCAGTGTTTTTTTAAGTGTCACTTAAATTTTGAGACTGTTTTTTTTTTAACCTGTGGTATCGATTTAGTATCGATACCGAGGTATTAGGTTCTGGTATCGTACCGAAGCCAAAATTGTGGTATCGAGCCATCCCTACCCAGGAGGAATGTCGTCTAGTCCCTACCAGGGGTTTGTTGTAGTCCTTAAAAAATGATTTCTTTAAAAGCAAATATCTTCCTTTTCTTTGAACTTTGTAGATGTTGTAAATGCTCAAACAGCAACATTACACACTAACTAAAGTTAGAAAAGTGAGATCATAATCAACCACCCCTGACCCTTTAAGAACAATCACACCAGGTTAGGCCTATTATACTAAAAAAACTTGTTAGTCCACAGATACATTTATGCAGGTTTATTTCAGTTATTGCATTCAACAAATGATAACAATTAGTACGGTGTATCCCCTACCATTGTTTTTTTATTTCTTAAAAGCAACAAAATCCAGAGAAACAACTCAAGCAAAGCCAGCCTCTGTGGATGCCAACTGAATTGACTGTATAACGCGGGATTTCGTGGAATTTGTAAATTGTTTGATGAATAATTAAAAACAGTTCAGTACACTTGAAATCAAATCGCGATATAAACTAGTGTGTGTGAATATTAAACCTTAAAAAGACCAGGTTATTTAAATAAGAATCCTGCATGTTCTGTGAATGAATGGTGCAGCCGACGCGCAGTTTCACACACACAGATACACACACACACACACTGAAGCACGTGTGACGTTCGCGCTGTTTTTTGCCTATATGTGGCACAAATGCATGAACTTCATCTCCAGACTCTAGATCTGCTCTGAGAGTCACTTCGTGAGCATTTAAGCGCTTAATTTGAGAAAAACTATCGCCATGTCAAACACACAGAAACTCAAAGGTCTTCACGTCAACCCATCAAAATAAAAGTTCGGTTTAACTTGACAGCAATATATTGCTGTTGTTCAGTAGAATTTAGATACGTCTCAATGTAGTAATAATACTAACACTGTTACAAATAAATTATCATCAAAACTTTATTTTTTAAGGAATAATAAAAAATATTCCATGTTTTAATTTTAACAGTAAAGCACATTGTACAGCACGTTGTTTGGCAAAGTTTGTTTAATTTCATATGATTAAAAGAAATTAAATTAATGTTTTAGGTCTTCATTTGATTACCAGAATAAACAACACCGAATTTGTGTGTGAAAAAAAAAAAAAAAATCATCTTTTTTTTTTTTTTTTAAATGCCGTATAACTTTAATAATTGTACAAGGTTCATGATTTCAATCAATTAGACAAGCTTTTTTATTGTTATGGTGTAAAACGGGTCTGGCAGAGAGCTTTATTCCTCAGCTTCTGAAGGCTATGACAACACCACGTATCCGTAACACGCCCGCTCCGCGACACTAGTAGTTGCGGGGGTCTACCACCCCCCGGAAAACAAATCCTAAGGGAAACACTGTAGTAAAACACACTAATTTTAAAGCGGTATAAAAAGGTATAAAGGTATGTACAATCTATACAAATTGAAGTTTGCTGTGATTTATCTTATAAACAAAGTGAATGCCTGCAATCATTCAGTCAGAGGCGAATGCACAAAACATGCAAATTAATAAAAAAACATTATAAACGGTTATGAAACGATAAACAATGAAAGTTTATACGACACTGAAACGATTTACTTAAAAAAATAAATAAAAAAAACTCATAATCCATTAAACTTGCTGAGATACAAGGAGGAACCTGAACTAAAATTCTCAGTTCCACACACACACACACACAGACGTCTGGTAAACTCATGAATATTACACACACCTCTGGTAAACTCATGAATATTAAGTTAAGCTCCGCCCACTGAAACCAAAATCTCAAAAAACTCAAATCTCATAACACCGGCAGTCAATCACTCGCATTCCGTGACATTGCTTCAACTTTGCTTTTCAAACCAGAATAACGAAATTGCTCTGAAAAAAAAAGCAAAAATAACCAATTTCTACCTGTTGATCAAATTATGCGTAGTGTTGTCAGTGATGTGCAGGCTGTAGCCTACATACTGCATCTGTTCACACCTCAAAAGTGTGTTTTAGGGTTTCATGTCCCTTTAAATCATACAATCTAATTCTAAAAAGAAAGATAATAAACTGCTCATGCTACATGTGTGTAGCATCTTTGTTTGGATCATGATTAAATTCAGTGTTCGCCTCTAATTTCAAATGGTTAAATATATTTAGGTCAGTTTGGCCTGTAGCGCACATAAACTTTTGCCTAAAGGAAAAAATGGCAACTGGTATTCGGCCAATTTGCTTGTAAAATTAAGAAGACGACAAAAGGAATCGCCTATGAAAAAACATGTTCGGTGCGTCACTATCTCTTACACCTTGAGCTCATGTAAGTGTACACAAAACATCTTAGCACAACTGTTTTCAAAAAGTATATATATTTTTAAATATCATAAATTATTAATTCATAAACACAATTATGTTTTTGAGGAGTCAAACCCTTTTAAGGTATATTTTAATTATACTTGAACTAAACTTGACTTATCATATAGAGGTCAAATTATCTGATATTTAAAAAAATGTACGTTATTGAGTCATGAGGGGCTGCAGGGATCTTCTCCATGATAGCATTTCCCATTTTTATGTATAATGATAATAAAATATGATGCATAATAGCACTTTAAACGTACTTTCAGGATAAAACAGCATCAGTAAACGTTGAATTACGGTTCATACCTTGAAAAGGAGTAAGTGACGTGTATGCTGTGACGTTCAGTGATATATAATCCAATCCATTGACATCTATAAAGAGAAGAAGAACACAGTAACACGTTTATGAGTAACATTTACTGGATTTGCTGGTACACATTCTCCCTTTACGCAAGAAGCAATGGAGGATCTGGATCACACCTTCCTCTCTGTTTGCAAATCTACGTCGCAACTCAAAGCTCACACAATGACTTGGCAACCTCAAACATCCGTGTGTCAGATCACTCTGAAGCTTCCCCTTTAAAACAGGAAAACTTGTTCACCAAGACCAAATGGTGCCGCAGAAAAGTATAAAAAACATAAACATTTTCACAGTAACGTTACGTAGAGTATTAGAATGATATAGTATTTATACACTTACTCAAAGTGTGTATACCAAGTAATATAAACAGGATTAACTTACAGTTCAAACTATAGGTAGTCACTAAAACAAACTTTCACCACGTCACAGTATTAGCATATTAGAGTATCATAACTTTAGACTAGCTTTTTAAAATATATTTTGAAGCATCATGCGACACATTCACAAGCGGTCACGAGCGCAGAAAACAAGACTAAAGAGTTTAATGGCGAAAAGTACAGGGAAGGCGTTTATATTACATCGTTCAAAACAGTCCAGAGATATATTAGTGTGAGTAAGTTAAACGTAAACGTGAAAGAGAGCAGAGTTTGTTTCATATCTAACATTAACTTGCTCTTCTGTCGAGAGGACGTTATTAAACTTACCTCAAATGAAACGAAGGCGCTCGAAAACCGCAGCCGCAGATGTTGAAAACTCTGTATTGATCAATAATCCTTACAGAACAAATAAAGACTTTCAGCTCTTCATTTTATGGTCGGTTTTTTTGGATGTACACACACTTTTGGTGTTTAGAATTACGCGAAGTTCGTTAATAGTGACGCTCCGGTTAGTGGTGGGTACTGAAGCGCGAGCACGTCGTCTTCTTTCAAAACACGAGAACGCGCACGTCGATCATCAACTAGTTTGACGCACCCATTTTAAAGTTACGAGCCACTGACCATTAAATATAAAATAAATAAGGTCGGTTTAATAGGATTGTTGTTGTTGTTGTGAATTCTCTGTAAAAAAAAAAAAAAAAAAAATTTAAAAATCTGTGAGACTTTCTCTAGGGAGCACCTGCCGTTTCAAAAAACGAATTAAATTTTTTTCTTTATTTGAGATATTCTAACACTAAAACTAATCTATTAAATAATATATTATTCAACAAATTGGTACCTGACCAACAATTGGAAACAACCTACCTCTCAAGTACCGGTTAACCGCAAATGACTGTGTTTAGTTCATTCAGGCCAGCGCTGAGAAAAATAACATGTATCACTTGAGCCCGTCTCTGGATCAGGACAATCATTTATACCTGGAAAACTTTAATATCAGTTTAATTTTAAACATTGTACCCAACCAATTGGCTCTATCTTAAATGTCTTAAAAATAGATGTACATTTAAAAGAATGGACATCATACAAGTTTTAATTTCTCACTTTATTATTTTAATTGGTAATCTTTTATAGATTTTCTTATATCTTAAATAATTCTTTCCATCTTGATTAGTCCCACATGAATAGTCATCTATTCTATGATATTCCTAACAGTTAGCAGGAAGTGATTTAAAAGCACAAAATAAGTAGGCTATTAGCAAATAATCAACTTTTTAAATAATCAACTTATAATTAAACGTTGAAGTGTTTGAGAATGGCCAGAGTATATTTCTGAAAGTCTATCCTTAATGACAGCTTAAATACAACACCGAACTCACTGTAGATTGTTCATTTCCTACGACCTGAGCTAAATTAGGTAGAAGGCAGCGACCTCTCCTGAAATTAAAGAGAAAGTGCAACGGATTGTGAATGAAAGTAAAAACTGCATGGACGATTGACCGGAGAACCCTCGTTTACTCCTGAACTTCAAATATTACTATTTATATAACCTAAAGCCTATATGCGACTCCATGAATCACCACACATTAAAAAAAATAACTATTATTAATTTTTTTTTCCGATACACATTTTATAATCTGGACTAATAATTTATAATAAAACCATTTTCTCAAGGGTTGTTTGGTCCAGATATTTTGACCTAAGGCATGGTGTTCATGTGTCGACATTGATCTATTAGAAGTATTATCTTCTTAAGTATTATCCACTCACTGTACAGGTAAAGAAAAGCATACCCAACAATGAATCTTTTTTTTTTAAGTAGAAATTGTATTTTAAAGAACTCAATTTGCATTGACATTATTTTCATGACTATCATTGTATAAATAAATAAAAACAATCTTATTAAAAACAGTCATTATTTCAAACACAAATATTTTCACATCTAGGCAGCATTTGTTCTATAGAATCTTAAGTTATGTAAAATTGTATTAAATACATTTTCTCAATCCAGTAATAGCTTATAAGAGCAGCACCATGACACGTATGCAAGTGAGGCTGTGCAGATAGACTTGTATTTTCTGTAGTAGGCCTATCGATGCTGTAAAAAGCAGGCTTAAATCACCTAGTCCTAGATCACATCATCTATCCCTTTTCCACAGCTCATATTGTCTGGGGTATTGTCCACTGAAATTTCCCGGAAATTATATTTTTAGTGTTTCGTCAGCAAAACAATACAGATTAAATAACAGTACAACCCACTGAAGAGATGCCTGTCTCTCACACAGCCTCGATTTCATTCAAAGATGGCGCCGCTGTGATTTGGTCTAGTCAGGGCAGACGCCATATTGGATTGTACTCGGCTGTGACGCTACGAACGGTAGATCACGTCGTTTTCAAACCTCACAACTTTCAGACTGTTTTATGTTGTTTGTCTATTGAGAGTAGTTTTGGAAATATGTTTTGTCAGCTGAACAATTCGCATGTAGAGTAGGATACATTGAACTATATTTACCCGTTGTTTTCACTCCTGTCAAAAATTAAATATGGCACTATCATACAAGTATAGTTCCTAATTTAAAAAAAATATCACCATGGTCCTACAACTAACCTTAACTTTTTTAGGATTTTTTTCTTTACGGTGAAATAGAAGACATTTCTAAAGTCAGAATCACCCAACAAAGAGCATTGTTTCCCCATATTTCCTTGTATTTAGATCACTTGACACCCCAAACCCATAGTCTCCTCTTCAAATCTTTTATTCTTTACATATGCAAAACAATCACTCATCACGTGTCTCCTATGTTGAAAATAAAGAATTCCTGTGTTTGACCCAGTGTATAGACCATTCCTGACCCAACGAAGATAAGACTCTGTGTCTTGTATGGACAAGTTACCTTGTTCTTGAAGCATACGACACAATTCCCAAAACTTGAAGCTGCTGTGATAAACCAACTATACCAGGTGCAATTTTGGTAAAATAACTTTTTTTTTTTTTTTCAAACACCATATAGCTTCACAGGACACAGAATGAATACATCCCATTATCCTATGTCAAAACATTCATTTCAAACACTGTAAGATGATACAATTTATTGCCATAAACAGTGTAGGAAAATGAAAAGAAAAACAAGAGAATAAAAACAGCCGACCTCTATAGTACAGTAAGAAGACAATTTTGAACTTCCTCATAATCCAGTAAAATGCGAGGAGAAGGGTTTCCCATGAGGACTCTACACTCGATCCACTAGGAGATGAAAGTACAGCGGCCGGCGTCACCGGCGTGTCTGGAAATGTGCGAGCAGTTCAATACGCTTCATATGGAAAGGCAGTACTGATCGTGTTATGGATCATAGTTTCTACTTGTTTTTTTTTGTCCTGGAAAGAAATACATTGCAGTCAAGCTGTGGATGTCGCTGTAGACCCATGTGTCACCAACCAAACCTATCATGCATGCATGTTGCTCTTCTAAGTGAATGAAATACATGTGGCACATTGTTCCTGAAAGCTCTGGATGAGCCAGATTTGGTCAGGTTCGGAAAATCTTTCGTAAAGACAACGCAAGAATTCAAACAGATTCAAAAACAGCTCTTCACTGTGAAATGGTTTAATTAAGAATCAAGCTCAACGTTTTAATTTTCAAATACAGTAAAGAAATTTAAAGAGCAAAATATAAAAAGCACACGGCTGCAATTACGTCCGCGTGTCTACAAATTCGGAACACAAAGATACTTTGGAGAGGGAGAGAGATATTTTGAAGTCCTTAAACACAATGGAAATCAACCAGGAGATGTTGTCCTCCAAGTTTGGGTTCTTTGAGGCGTGTGGGAGGAGTCAGCGAGGACAGGCAGAGGCGGAGTTAAGACTATGCCCCGCCCCTTTCTAGAGCCCCCACCTCCACATGCTTTTTAAGCCAATCGGATGAGGGCTCGTTTGGATTCGAGAGGAGACCAGCACCTCGTGCCCCTGCCTGCGTGTCACTGGGAGAAGTCTTTGAAAGATTTTATGGTGATCAAAGCCAGTAGAATCCAGTATAGCCTTCCGGAATAATGCAGCCACACTGACACAGATATTAATTCTTAAGAGAACGGAAACATAAAACAAAACAAGAACAGAGTGGTTACACAGGGTCCATTGTAGGAGATGGTGAAAAGTTGACATTTGCAACATGAACATTTTGATAAAGCAATTATTAGAATCAGTTCAACACTAACAGGAAGATTGCGGCGGGGTGTCGAACGTGTGTAGATCTACCGATTAACGTCGTAAGAAACCGAACACTGACTGTACAACTGGACTACGTTGTGCTTTGACACGCCAATTTACAGACACGATAAGGGCTAGGGAAGAGGACAAGCACCACATGTACATTCCAGTGCGCGGTCGAAGGTTTGCGTGCGCGTTTCGGAAAAAATCGTCTGAAATGGCGATTTTTTATTAAATCACATCAAAAACAAACAAACAAAAACAACTTCAAAAGGTGCAGTCCAGTAAAAATCCAAAGAACAAAAATGCAAAACAATGGTGGTTCAATCCAACAAACTTAATACTGCTTTTCGCGAACGCTAATATAAATTGAACGTCAACCGTGGAAACGTTAGCTAGCTGCCCCGCAATAAAAGTGCACACTAGTGTTGTCAAAAATATCGATATTTCGATAAATATCGATACTGAAATATCTGAACGGTACCAATACTAATTTCCCGAAGTATCGATACTAGCCGAGCAGTCACTTTCACTTCTCTCAAAAGGCGCGTTGACAAACACCACACGTGACGTGACGCACTCGTCTCATTCGCTCTGGTTAAATAGCAAAAGTGAAGTGAATGGAAAGATGGCGAGGGCCGCGCCCCCGCGACCGGCTTTGGTTGATTGATAAAGAACACCACGAGCGGGCATGTCGGAGAATAGCGCGGACACGAGCTACACACCGCGAGCGGGCATGTCGGAGAATAGCGCGGACACGAGCTACACACCGCGAGCGGGCATGTCGGAGAATAGCGCGGACACGAGCTACACACCGCGAGCGGGCATGTCGGAGAATAGCGCGGACACGAGCTACACACCGCGAGCGGGCATGTCGGAGAATAGCGCGGACACGAGCTACACACCGCGAGCGGGCATGTCGGAGAATAGCGCAGACACGAGCTACACACCGCGAGCGGGCATGTCGGAGAATAGCGCGGACACGAGCTACACACCGCGAGCGGGCATGTCGGAGAATAGCGCGGACACGAGCTACACACCGCGAGCGGGCATGTCGGAGAATAGCGCGGACACGAGCTACACACCGCGAGCGGGCATGTCGGAGAATAGCGCGGACACGAGCTACACACCGCGAGCGGGCATGTCGGAGAATAGCGCGGACACGAGCTACACACCGCGAGCGGGCATGTCGGAGAATAGCGCGGACACGAGCTACACACCGCGAGCGGGCATGGGAATAGCG